GAGAGAAAGATCTTTCTCCCGCTGATTCACTCCCCCATAGGCCACAATGGCCACAGCTAAGCCTATCCAAAGCCAGGAGCTTCCACGTCTTCCGGGTCTCCCACGCGGATGCAGGCCACCAAGTCTTTGGGCTTTCCTCCACTGCTTTCCTAGGTCACAAGCAGGGCTCTGGATGGGAAGTGATGTTTCAAAAATGCTTTTAGACTTTCAGCAACACTTACCTGTGTCATTAGTGAGTAGAATAGTGTCCAGTGGGGTCAGCGCGGTGAAGCAGTACGTTCAGCTGTCACTTCCAATGCCAGAGTCCCACATTACAGTGCTAATTTTAGTCACTGCTGTTTTACTTCTGATCTAACTCTATGCTAACATACTTGGGAGGGTAACGTGATAGACCCAGTGCATGAAGCCCTGTCACCAGCTTGGGAGACCAAGATGGAATTCCAGGCTCTTGTCATCTACTTGACTCATCCCTGGCCATTGTGGCCCTCAGGAGTGAAGCAGCAAATGGGGGGGGGGGGAGGAGGGAGTGGCATCTCTGTTTCTGTTTATCCCTTTCTCTGTGTTTTTCACTTTTCCATTCAAATAAGTAAATCTCTAATAACAAAAAGAAACTTCAAAAACTACTTGTTTTCAAATATATTGGAAATAATGAACATTGATGGCTAAGCATGTAGTTAAAATATATTGAAATACATAAAATATATTGAGGTTACTGATTTTCTGATCTAATAAAGTACATCACAAGGTGCCTCATTGTATATTAAATTATATAGCATTTGTTTTAGATGGGAATTCTGAAAACATGAAATCTCAGATTGGAAGAATCACACTAAGTGTATGTGCTCACACACTTGCAAGCATACTTCAAACTGTGGTGAATGAATTAAAAAGATATAAGCAATTTCTACAAACTTTTTGAAGATCATGTTTAGGTAGAGTATCTACTCAGTATGGATGTCTATTATGTGCAAAAGAGCATCTTGGACTCTAGAAAGTGTGAAGATGAGCAGAATGTTTACTTTCATGTGTAGGAACAAGAATCTAGTCTAGTTAGGCCTAGCATGGTAGTGCAGCATGCTAATCCTCTTCCCTGTGACACAGACATCCCAAAAAGAGCACGGGTTTGTGTCCTAGCTGCTCTACTTCTAATCCAGTTCCCTGTTTATGACCTGGGAAAACAATGTACAGCAGTCCAAGTGCTTCGGACTCTGCACCCACATGGGAGATCTGGAAGAAGCCTCTAGCTCCCAACTTTGGATCAGCTCAGTGTGTCCATTGTTGCTATCTGTGGAGTAAACCAGCAAATGGAAGACCTTTCCTTGTCTCTCTTCAAAGTCTCTGTAAAATCTGCCTTTCAAAAAAGTAAATAAATCTTAAAAAAGAATCTCATCTAGTAGAAAAACATTGTTAATACAAATAACTGGCATATGCTTTGGTCAATTCTCTTGAAAAACCAAGTTCAGAATAAGAAGAATTAACTCTGCTTTTTAAGATATGTACATATAAGTTGGACCTCAAAGGTTAGGAGAATTTCAGTAAATTGTGATGAAAGATAATTTAAAACCTATTAAGATAACAGCATGAGCCAAGATATAAAAAGTTAAAGGCGTTTTTTTTGAGAATAGCAAGTAGATTTTCTCAAATTTGCAGTTTTATTCTTTTCAAAATGTTTTCATGTATGTTATATTGGAAATGTAGAGCAACCCTACCGAGGCTTATAGGAAAGTGGCTTAGCCCATTTTGCACTGCTCTAAAAAGGGATTTTCAAACTTTATGTAGCTCTATGGAATACAAAGAGGTTTGAGCTTGGCTTACAGCTCTGGAGATCTAATGACCAGTTTGGGTAAGACATCATGTTCCATCATAGCACAGCAGGTGGCATCACATGGCAGGAACACTCTTGAAAAATGAGCAAGCAATGTGTGTGGAAGATAGATGCAACAGAGGCATCCAGCTTATTATAGCATTAACCATAGCTGTACCAGTGGAGATACAGCAAAACATTCATCTTGGAGATCTAATCCAAAACAAACCACCTCAATGCTATCACTCTGGAAGAGCACACCTCCATGTGAATTTTGGTGGAGCAAATCCACCTCAAATATAACAGAAATTATTATTTATGGGACATCTGAAGGAAGTGAGTTTTGGAGAAAATGAATAACTTATACAAAATTATGAATTGATAAATTGTTTTAAGGAAAAAGATAAATGTATTTTCAAAAAGTGTAGGGAAAATTATTCTGGTAATCATGTGAAAAGCAAGTACATAGAGGATTACAGTGAGAAGGTTACTGATCATCTAGGTAAAAAGTACCAAGAGTTTTAAACCTTGCTAGGTTTCCTTGCATTGGTGAGAAGACTTTTTGCAAAACATTGCAGAACAACTGGTGCGATTTATCTTGATTGGATACAAGAACTGAGGACACAGACATTACTAAAAGACCCAGAGGTTAGTTGCATTTAAGCAAATCTGGCCTTGCCTTGCAGCTTCTGCTAAAGGAACTTTTTACTATTTTCAACATCAGTCCCCATCTCTTTGCTTTATGCAGAATCTACTCCTATGAAATATCATATTTGATTCAAAGGTGTACAAACATATGAAATCTACAGAGAAAAGACTAATTTTTGATGAATCAGACAGATGAAGATGAAAATTTTGATGCCTTTAAGGTCTCTCCACAAATTCATTGATATTCATATCTTCAACAATTAAGGCTTTAATTTCTCCCCTTTATAGAGTCTATATATAATGACTGGCTTCTAGTAAGTGTCACGAGGAATAACTGGCTAAAATAGACTGCTGTATTTGAATGTTTTTACCCTCTAGAATTTAATCCTCTACACAGCAATACTGAGGGTGTGTGGCTCTGGGAAATTGATTATGTCAGGAAGACTCTGCCATCACAAATAGAATCAGAGATCCTTCCAAAATATCTTGACAGAGGCAATGCATCCCTTTTACCTTTCTGCCTTCTGTCTTTTGGTAACATAGTATACAAGTTGTCATCTTGGCAACACAACTTAGGGCCAGAAAATGAACCTGTGCCTATATGGGATCCTGGCTCATGCAAACTGAGAATTTAGCCACTAGGCTATTGTTTTGGGTCATAAGAAAGAAAACACAATCTTGGGTATTCTGTTACAGAACCATAAAATGGACTGAGTCATACAGGGTGACTGGATAGTAAAACACATGGCAGTTTTAACTTTTCCTCTTAGAGCCCACATTCTAGGGAAACTCAGTTGCCTTGTCTGGAGAGCAACCAAGTTGCCATGCAGTTTAACCCGTCACATGAAAGCCTGGGCCTCTAGCATCAGTCATGCAAGTGACTCATCTCCGAGGCAGATCTTCTCAGTTAAGCTTTTTGACAACCGCAGGATCTAGCCAATATCTTGAGTCAGACTTGCTGTGGTACAGTGGGACACACCATGCAAATAGTGCCAAATCCTGCTTCAAGAGAACATTTAGAAAACAAATGAGCTAATTTGTTAGGTAGCAAAAAGTAATGCAAAGGTCAAAACAACAAAAGTGTGTAGGACTTTGCTCCACTGAAGGGGAGAGATTATTACTGAATGTGGTTACAACAGGAGTCTTTCTCAATGATTAACATGATCTTGAAGAGTAAACAAAAACTGAATAAGGAACTAAAACACAAACAATGCTGTAACTTATCAGCCAACTCTGATTGCTGATCTCTACAAAGAGAAAAATGGAATAAGTTTCAAATTTTCAAAGTGGCCATTAGTGTATTCAAAGCTGTAATGCATTTCTGGACTAACTGTAATATGTGATATGCTTATGAAATTACTTTTGGGTTGATATTGTTTCAGCTTTCACTATTAAAAACATAAGGCCTAGCGCGATGACACAATGGCTAATTCCTTGCCTAACAAGTGCCAGCATCCCACGTGGGGTGCTGGTTACTGTCCCAGTTGGTTCACTTCTCATCAGATCCTGCTTGAGGCCTGGGAAGGTAGTAGAGGGTGGTTCAAAGCCTTGGGGCCCTGCACCTGTCTGGAGGACTGGGAGGAAGCTCCTGACTTCTGGCTTAAGCTCAGCTTATCTCTAGCTGTTGTGGCCATCTGGGAAGTGAACCAGCGGATATAAGATATTTCTCTTTGTCCTCCTCTCTGTAAATCATTTGATCTCTCTTTCCAATGCAAATAAATATTATAAATAAATATACTGATTAAGGTGTAGATTCTTAATGGTCTGCAATATTGAGTGAAGTCACTAGGTTCATATTTTTATCTGTATGTATGTACTCATGGTGGCTTAGGTTTATGGATTAATTTGAAAAACATTACCTTCAAATTTACACAGAGCCCTACTTTAGGAAAGCAAATTTAAATAACACTCATCTCTGCATTCCATAACAAAATGGGTGTGTTAGTTTGGGCAGGGCTCATTCAACTTCACTCAAGCAAAGAGGTTTCTTTGCTAATATATAAATTGTTCAGAAAATCAGCCACTCCGAGGTTGTGACCTGAATATGAACACTAATATATATATTTATCATACAGCGCCATTTATTTTGAGGAATGATCAATTTGCAGGAGGAAAAAATATGCTCTAAAAGTCTGCTTTCTCCTCTCATTCGTGTCCAACTAGAAGATACCCACATTATGACAATCTTGGATTTTAGAGCAAATCGAGGTCAGGTCACAGAGTGTGCGTGAATAGCTCAAAGATCAGAGAGAAATCCAAGGCAAGACAACACATTTGGAGCTTCTCAAGTCCTGTTTTTTCCCCTCCCTCTAGTAGAAGTGGCTCCATTTACGCAGCCTTTGCGTAGTCAATCATCCTAGGAGTCGCAGTGAGGACGCAGGCGCCGAGGGGTGGGGCGTCGGGCGGATGGGAGGGCTTAGCCAACCCGGGGCCGGGCAGGGCGCGCGCGAAGTTTGAACTCTTCCTTCAGGGCCCGCGCAAAGAGTCACTTCTCCGGAAGTTTCCGCTCCAGGTCCTGCTGCAAGTGGGTTTCAGTGCAGCTAGGGCGATGGTGGAAGGACCAGGTTGTACTCTGAATGGAGAGAAAATTCAGGCTCAGGTGCCCCGGGGCCAAGAGGTTACCGAGGTGCGGGGAACTGCTTTGCCAAGCTTACATTTTTCGGCGCAGCCACACGCCGCCTCCGCTGCCACCGCTGCTGCGGTCTCCTCCCAGGTGAGCTGCTAGTGGAGCCAGCCCTCCGCGGAATCGGAGGAAAGACCCCAAGGGTTGCAGGGTCCAAACTGCCTTTTTGCTCTGGGCCTAGTTCCCTGAGGCCTGGCGTTTTTCAACGTTTACTTTCACTTTGTCCAGGGGACGAAGTCGGTCACTGTTGGGCTGCATTAGAGCCAACTACCAACACTTGGTGGGTACTGGCCCAGCAAGGTCCCGGGGACAATCCACGGAAGGTGTTTTATTTCTGTGTCACCTTCCTTAGCTTTTTCAAAGCACAGCGAAAGTGGCTTTCCTTGTGACTACAAATGTATTCTTCTCTGTTAATGTCATCTATCAGCTCGCTCTCTAAGCTTTAATTATAGAGTGTTCACATTTCTCAAGATGATGAACTTGTTGCATTACATTCTAGCTTCTGCTTTCCTAATATTCTGCAATTAGTAAGTATATGACAACATATGTAATTCTAAAGTTGTATATAAAACATTTGGAACCGATTTTCCCTTGACATGCCGATGACTGAAGGCCAGAGCAGCTGGTTCCTTAAGAAAATCTTGCTTTGTAATGTTGTTTGTAGTGCAGCTTCTTCCCACCTGAGCTTTCATTTGAGAAAGCAAGATATTCATTCAGTAAGAACTTAGAACTGGGACTAAAAATATTCTGATTAAAAGTGCTTTAGATAGATGCATGGTTGGTTGTATGTCACAGACATATGCAATATTGTATGTATTTCAATTTCTCTTGAATGCTTTCTCATAATCTTTGATCCTGATAGGAAAAAAGTTGCCTTGTGAAAAATTAACATATGCTCACACTTTGGAAGAAGTGATTGTCTAAGTCTGGTAAAGTGCATGTATAACTTGAACACAACTTTTGCATTTCCTTTTTTTTCAATTTTATTAATTTTTATTGTATTTCTTTTTGTTATCATTTTGTGATAACTTTTGCATTTCCTTCCAGTTGTCCCTCTAATTTTATGACTTGATATGCCAGTAATTATTCTGCATTTTTATTAGAACATTTATTATAACTGCTCAGTTTCATAGGAATACTAAGGATTTTAAAAATTATTCAACAAAATTTGATTGCAGTAGGCATCTGGAAAGTAAACAAATGCTTGTCCTTGTGGAGACAAAAGTTGAGAAAATAAGTGGCTAGGCCTTAAATTATAGATGAAATAGAGGAAAATGTATAAATTCTGTGAAGGAGAGGTGTATGGTCTTCTGAGAACTTAGAAGAATGAGCATCTGAGCGGAAGTAGAAAGGAAGTAGGCAGGAGACGGACAGCACCTGGTCTCAAGTTGGGTCGCAGGACACCACGGGCCAGAAGGATGGCAACCGTACTGTGTTCTGATTCTGCACACGTGCAGACTGAAAGAAAACCAGAGCAAGTAGATAAAGGAGAGTGAGATAGAAGCAATGTGTTCTAAAGACAGCTTTGGTGGGGAGGAGGCAGGCAATGCTAAGCCTATAGATCAAACTGGGGACTTTGTGTGTATGCAGGGGGCTGGAGTTTTGGATGCATGGGATATCTGTATGTTTCAGGGAAATCCCTCTACCTTGATTAGGAGTCGTGGTAGGCTTAGCTAGGAAGTTACTGCAGCCATTTGAGATTCTGATTCCACTGCTGGTGGGGAAGAAAGGACAGAGTATCACTACTTCAGAAGCACAGGTTTTAGGCCTTAGCAACATATATGGTATGAGTATGCTATGATATCACAATTTGTATCTTTCAGCAGTAATGTATATTGTGCTAAGTTTCATGCTAGCTCTTAGTGCTACAGACTTATTCCACTCACTAGTGAACTGAAATTGAAAAGAGGCCAACTTTGGAGAAGTTCAGCATTCAGCTCCAGTTCCACCGTGGCTTATCTAGAATTTTTATCCACTTGGGTATATTGATCACATCCTTTCTGTCTCGGATTTGTCCTTTTTTTTTCACAGGGTACCTTGCACCCAGCTTGGTGTTATACATGGTATGGTTGCTTCTATAAGTAGTATTGTTGCTCACAATCATCTCCCCACAAGGATTAGATATTGGTGCACCTGGACCACCATGAAGAAGTAGTTAATGAGGCTCTGCAGGGTATTTTTCCATTGGGGGGTGGAGTGTGAACTCTTCTTGTTCCTGATTGCAGCTGGATGAAGTACTCTATGGTGAGACAGAAACAAACATATCCAGATGAGAGAATTAGTTTTGTGAATGCTATTTCTGTCCTGCTTCACTTAGATATACAAAGATGAAAAAGGCAAGGATCTTGTTATAAAAATCCTACTTAATGTTTTTTTATTAAAAAAAGATTTATCTATTTGCTTTATTGGAAAGTCAGATATACAGAGAGAAGAAGATACAGAAAAGTCTTTCATTTGCTGATTTACTCCCCAAATGGCTGCAACAGCCAGAGCTGAGCAGATCCGAAGCCAGGAACTTCTTCCAGGTCTCCTACGTGGGTGTAGGGTCCCAAGGCTTTGGACCATCTTCTGCTGCTTTCCCAGGTCACAAGCAGGGATCTGGAAGGGAAATGGAGCAAATGGGACATGAACTGGCACTCATATGGGATCCTGGTGCAGGCAAGGTGAGGTCTTTAGCTACTAGGCTACCATGTCAGGCCCTTATCTATTGTTTTAAATAACTTTCATTGTATTTGGGTTTAGATACAATACTATGAGCATCTCCCCTCCCCCTATTGCAGTGTGTCATGATCATTTTTGGTGACAAGACCTAAGTTACCTTTACATTTGATTCATTTGTGAGAAAGAATAACTCAATAATGAAGCATTAATGCGATTCAACACGTGAAGAATGTGAGGCTCACAATTAATTTAAATCAATTGCAGCAGGTCACATGATTCCCAGGGGTTTGGGAAGCTTGACTCCCATGCTTGGTTTTTCTTAATTTTGATTGTGTGTATGTATGTGTGTGTGTGTGTGTGTGTGTGAAGACTTGGTTATTTGAAAAATAGAATAGATTGAGAAGGAAGGAACAGGAAGAGATCTTGTGTCTACTGATGCATCCTCCAGTGGCTGAAATAGCCAGGCAGGAGGCAGCAGCCAGGAGCCCAGATGGTCTTCCCACATAGGTGACAAGGAACCAAGCACTATGGCCATTTTCAGCTGCCTTTTCAGGTGCATTAGCAGGGAGCTGAATCTTACGTGAGCTAGGATTTCATCGTTTTGCTTTCAGCATCCTAAGACCAAACTTGTATTTCCATGTTCAGATTGCATAAAGAGAAACAGTCTGATAATATAGTAAAAAAGCTTTGTTAATGTTTGGGCAGTTAACATCAACTGGAAACAACATCAAAAAGTTGTGTGCTACAATTATTTTTTAAAACAATCTGCACTTAAAGCTCTTATGCCTGATACATTGAATGGAGAAGATATTAAAAATCGGAACAAGCCTTTGTGATTCAGGTCAAAAATCCTGCTCTGTGGAGTATGAATTTAAAGACAAATGTGGAATTAATGTTTTCTTGGTGGATCTTGGTAAAGTTCTAAATATTTTGCCATAGATTCATATTCTACAATTTGGAGCTGAAAATAATAATTGTAACTTTTATGAATATGAAAAATATTTCACATTCTAGAGGGATTTTTTGAGTATAGTGAAATTCATTAAAAATATGACAGGCTATTACCAACCTCTGGCCAGATCAAGATGATTACTTAGCACATGAGGACATCATCCTAGGTTTTTGTCTCTGATTTAAAACTATTGAAATGAATCTACTGCTGAATTTGAAATGTTTGGTTTTTATGAGGCAGCATTTCCAAAGAATTCAGTAAGAGCATACCATATTGTTTACAGTACAGTAAACATGAAGGAAATTATGCAGAGAAAAGGAACTATTAATTGAGCATTAAAAATAAAATAAAGTTTAGATAACTGTTATACCAAAAATAGCCAGAAAGCTTTACATCAGTGCCTATTGTCTTCATGAACTAGTTACTGTTTGTCAAATAGCGTTCCTCTTTGTTCCAGTTTAGAGTTCATAGGGCACATGCTTTAGCATATGTGTCCCTGTGACAACTGGTCCTCATCCTGAGGAAGAAAGCCTACACCTAAAAGATCTCAGCATCTGTTAGTCATGTATCCACTCTATTATTTTTCTGAAATTTGATGCATTGTCTTGTCAGCATGAGACTATGCAAGTGTGTGAGCACATTTGCATAAAACTCCACTGGAGCTTGTGGAATCTTATGGTAAGAAACAACATCAGAATGTGAATGAACATGTCTGGTTAATGAGCTTTGAAGAGCCAGTCCTCCGATTTTAATTGTTGGGTGGATACAATATTTTAGTGAAATCAGTATGTAATCTGCATGTGTTTTCAATCTCCTTTCAGAAAACAGGATATGAAACAGTTTATTTATAAGCAGTCATTTCATTTGGAACACGCCTTTCTGATTGTTCCCATCAGTCTTTAAGATTTGATATATGTAGTTAATGTGCTAGCAACTCTTATTTGTCTTTCCATACTGCACAGTGTCAGTGAACAGTGTAGGCATTTAATAAATGTTGAATGGAAATAGAAGAGCAGAGTCTTGAAAAGTACCAAATAAATTGCGTTTGGACTCTTGCATTATGAGTAAATATCTGTTTTGTTGTGCGTGTTACATGGAAATGCTTATTTCATAAAAATAATGAACCTATGTAGAAACCATTTTCTACCTACCTTCTCTTTCAAAGTGGAAAAAAAAAATCACTGCTCATTTTATTGCCATTATTTGAAGGAATGAGCTAATCCACAGAGATTCATTTTCCTGCTAAATGAAGGCCATTCCCTTAAGTGTCCAAAAGGGTTTTCTAAATATTTTATAGAAAATGCATGAAATATTCCTTAGTTCCTTAAATGCATACAGATAATGATTTCTTAATGATTCAGGATCATGAGCAGCAGTATCTGACATTATGTGAAATCAAGAAACAAGGCAAAGCAGAGCAGATGACATTTTAACAGCAGAGGAAACTATGAGAGGTGATTTTCCATGGCCATTGTAG